CGTCTCCTGGTGATTGGCCCAAAGTCACCTTGCCAACTTTGGTGCCTGAGATAGTACTAGAACTCACAGTCTCCTAGTTTTTAGCCTGCTGCTTTAATCACTAGACCAAACTAACTCTGCCTTGATTCATGAAAGGAAGAGTGATGGAATGTTTTACCAATTTCCAGGATTTTGGGGCTGTTTCTCCAAAAAGAATCCCCATAGAAATGTATGGACTTGCTTTGCAGCTATCATGTTCACGTTACAACTGCCTCAATTACTTAATGACCATCACACACACAAAAAAAATCTAAAATTGGATTGGTCACGTGAGTGACTCGACTTACGAGTGACTCAATTCAATTTCATGACCATTTTTTTGTGGTGGTCATTTAAACAAATGGGGCAGTTGTAAAGCGAACATGGCAGTCGTAAAGTGAGTCTATACATTCCTATGGGGATTTTTTTTTTTGCAGAAACTGCCCTGAAATCCTAGTAACTGGTAAAACATTCCATGACATACAATGGAAATTCTGGACCGCATTAAGGTCATAGGTTGAGGGCTAAATATAGTGGTTACGGCACCAAGGTACAAATTGGGAGACAGTGAGTTCTAGTTCCACTTTATGCTGGATGACCTTGGCACGATCCCACTTTCTCAGCCTTAAAAAGCAGACAATGGCAAACTACTACTGACAAGGTGGCCAAGAAAAATTGCAGGCAGTTGCCGAGAGTCAAGATCATCTCGAAGACAGAAAATAATCAAAGGAACCCTAATGCTCTGCATGAAAAGAGAAAATCCCAAATTCCTTTGTTCCAACCAGGGCAGATATTCATAGACATCTGGGCTAAGCTATCAGACGAGGGCATTTTTAATCCAAAGCCACTCAGCAGAGGGAGAATCTTACAATCTGTAATTGTTGAACCATTTCTTCTCTGTAGGCCAACTCCCGCTTCATCTGATCTTGAAAATTATCTGTGCAAAAAGAAAAGGACAAAAACAAAAAAGTACATGAAATTTTTTTCATCTTAGACGCTACCAATTCACCCCGAAAAACCGGCAGTTTGTTACTCTCTGATAATTTTGCACTGGAAAAAAAAGATGGCTGAAAAAAAGAGCAGATCTGGATGTGCAGTGGTGTTAAGATTGTAGGAAGTCTGTTATCTTATACGAAATAAAATATTTAAGCAATTATCCTCAGTCTGTATACAGGTGGTCCTCAGTTAATGATGGTAATTGGGGGTGGAAATTCTGTCACTGAGCAATGTGGCGATAAAGCATGATGTCACATGACTGCATTGCTTAACAGTAGCAAGCTCCAGGCACTCCGCATTGCCATTATTAAGAGTGAATCATGATTCCTTAAACAAAGGCCCTCCTTGAAACTTTCTGTCACTTTCTAACAAGCAAAGTCACTGGGGAAGCCAGCAGGAAGTTGTAAGTCCCAGCAGGTCCACAAGCCGTTCCACAGAGAGATAAGTGCTGCTGGGTGGCGGAAGGTACACGGGTGGCTGCAGTGGCATGGTGAACGATGTTGGACCTGCAGTGGTTTCCACCATGTGGGGAAGACTTATCTGAGCGACTTACAACATTTCCTGCTGGCTTCTCCATTGATTTTACTTGCTGGAAGCCGGGAGGAAAGATCGCAAATGCCAATAACAAGATCAAGAGAAGCTGCAACTGTTGCAAGTGCCAATAATGTGGATCATGATCATGTGAACACAGGGGTGTTGTAATGGTGGCATGTTTGAGGACCAGTCATAAGTACCACTTGCTCAGCAATTTTGAATGGTCGCTGAACGAGTGAGGACTATCTGTTTTATATTTGCAGTATTGTACTGTAATTTAGGAATAACAGGAATTATAATTCCATCTCTTGGAGACACCACATCTAAAGCTACCAGATGTGGGCTTCAAAATTCAAGTTGATTATGATATATCATTTCTAGCTGTGTTCTGGTAGTTATCCAGATATTTGCAGCTGACTTGGTAGCCTAATCAAGTTGGAGGCAGCAGATATGTGAAAGAACATTTTTTTAAATCTGCTTTTCATGTATCTTATATTATAAATATAATTTGATAATCCCATGTCAACCTAGAGTTCTCGCTTCAAGGCACAAACAGCTAGGCTCAAACCATTTTCCAAAAGGCAGCATGACTTTGTTTTTCCTTGAAGTTGTTTCACTTCTCATCCAAGAAGCTTCCTTCGGTTCTGAAGAACAGTTCTGAAGTAGTGAAGAAGTGTCTTGGGTGAGAAGCAAAACATCTTCATGGAGAAACAAAATCCAGGTGCTTTTTGAAAAAGCACCTTTGGGACAACATGACTTAGATGACTGAGAAGGCTCTCCTGCTGGGAAAGGTGGAAGGAAGGAGAAGAAGAGGAGGCCCAATAGTGAGGTGGATGAACTCAATTACAGAGGTGATGAAGGCACCTGTCGACTAAAAAGATACTCCTTTGGTCTTTTTAGCTGCCAGAAAAAGGGAGTGGGGGAAAACAGTGCATTCCTTAAGTGCCTAGATAATCACCCAGACTCTTGGGGATGGATGTATCCCATTGGAGAATACACATCCGGGGGATGGCGGGGGGGAGACCAGGGTCAAGGGGGAAATGAATGATGTAATTTAGTATCGGCTGCATCCAGCCAACACCAACATGTCCACTTCTAATAAATCAATTTTCTTTTCTCTGATGCGGCTAGAGACTTATGATTTGAATGGGGGTGGATTTGTTGGAGTCCTGACAGCCAGCTGATACTAAATTACACTATTGGAAGACTTGAAGGGATAGTTTTAAGGATAAATCTTTATGGAAAGGAACTATCTATGTCTGTGATGGCAAACCTATAGCATGCATGCCAGAGATGGCACACACCGCCCCCTCTGTGGGCACACAAGCCATCACCTCAACTCTGGTGCGTGCCTCTCATCGGCCAGCTGGTCTTCGGGTCTCTGCCATGCATGCGGGAGACGCATGTGAGGGGGTGGAGTGCATGCATGGGGCAGGGTGCATGCGTGGGGGATGTGTGTGCATGCCCAGAAGACATGAGTGCATGCATGAGGACTTGTGAGCATGCGCCGGGCACATGCACAGGGGATGCATGCACACTGCATTTTGGGGATGCACATGTGCATGCTTTGGCTTGGTGCTGAAAAGGTTAGCCATCACTGATCTGGAAATGTGATTGCTAGAAATTGGCGCTTCGATGACACACATAGGTGGTCCTCGAGTTATGCCCATTTGTTTAATGACCGTTCACAGTTACAAAAAGCAAGTTATGGTCAGTTTTCACACTTATGACTCTTGCATCAGCCTCACAGTTATCTAATCAAAATGTGCGTGTTTGGGAAACAGCCATTTATGTCAGGAAATCGGGCAGCAGGTATTCAAATGAAGTTCGAGACTTGTAGCTTTAAATAGAGAAATATATTTTGCATCAAACTAGATCGTTAAGGAAACAGGAGCATCATGAGGTAAATCTCAGTGCCCGCAGAGGACCCAGAAGAAAAAGGCGGGAAAAAAGGGAACCTCCCCCTCCACACCCACAGCAACCAATCACAGTGCAGATTGCCTCCCGCAGGAGCCACCCCTCTCCAGTCAATCAACTATAACTGTGTGTTCTGGCTCATTGTACAACCCCACAGCTCCAGCTATTAAATTTAAAAATATTAACAATTTACGATGGGATTGTCATTTGCAACCTTCCTAGGGAGCTTCTGACAAAGTCAAGGGGGGGGGCAGCCAGATTCGCTTAACGACCACCCAATTCACTTAACAACTGCAGTGATTCACTTAACAACCATGGCAAAAAAAAGTTGTCAAATCAGGCCTACCTCATTGAATAACCTCCGTGCTTAGCAAAGGAAGTTGTTTTTTATATATATAAATGTATTGTTTTATCATAGAGAATAAAATACAGAACAGTAAAACAAACAAAATTAGCAAAAAAAAAAAAAAAAAACCATTCAACCATAACAACGACAACAAATAGAAATTTAACATCTAACGTGTAGAGTCCAACCTGGCTGAGTGCTGAAAGAAGAGAAAAAGCAATGAATTTTCCTCCCCTTTTACAAATTTATATATGTGTGTGTATGTATGTATGTATGTATGTATGTATGTATGTATAAATGTATATATATATAAAAGAAAAAAGAAGAAAAAGCAGTCAACAGGTTGAGCAAAAAAAGTTCTGATTGAATAGTGGTTGTTAAGTCAAGGGCTATCTGGATTAATAAGTGTGTGTGATAATACAAGGACCAAGGATTACAGATTACAGATTAACAGAGTTGGAAGGCACCTTATAGGTCATCTAGTCCAACCCCCTTCCCCGCCCAAGCAGGATGAATGAGTTCAGCATGAAAGTGGACTGTATATAAAAATGAATTTCCGGGATGGAATCAACAGGCTGATGTGTTTTGGTCATATGGAGAGAATGAGGGTTGAATTGCAGCACCATTACACAGAGGAAGAGTGAAAGAGTTGAGAGGGAGAGGGAGAAAAATCACACTAAGATGAGGTTGAGGAGACCCTCAGAAACGAAAAGATGGGAAGATTAAAGGAAAAAAAGCAACGCATGAAGTGGTAGATCAGGGGTGTCCAACTTTGGACTCTTAAAGGCTTGTGGACATCAGCTCCCAGAATTCCCCAGCCAGCCATGTTGTCTAGGGAATTCTGGGAGTTGAAGTCCACAAGTTTTAAAGCTGGACCACCCCTATGGTAGATGAATCTAGAGCCAGGATGTTTTGCAAGAATAGAAAGCTACGGAGAAATACAATGAATGCTCTTGTCTGGGGGGGCGGGGGTGTGTGAAAAAAGTTTTATTTTCTTTTTTCATGTCTTATCTTTCTTTGGCTTTCTCTTCTTTTCTGCACTCCTGCATCACATTCCTTTCCCTGGAAGGAGACATATATGACAGGCATATATGTGTATACAACTATCTCTACAAAGATGTGGTATACCGTATTTAAAGTGGTTAACATGCATTACTCGTCCTAACCTTTACAACAACCTTGTGTATCTTGTCTTTTTTTTTTTTTAAAGTATCTTTGCGTTGACCTGTGTGGTGCACTGTCTCTTTAAGGCTCTTGACTCAGCAAATGGGAGCCTATAAATTAGTTCCTTGGCTTTTTTTCAGGTGATCCATTGTCTTCTGCTTTCTTTGTGTCCTTGGGTTTCGGATAATAAATGTTTCCTCCCTGGACAACAATGAAAAAAAAAGCTTTGGGAGGTGTTTTGTATCTGCTTAGCTCTTCCAGATTAACCAGTGGGAGATCCTAGTTGGATTTCTCTTTACCTTGGCAAAGATTGAGCACCATGGCTTTTGTGACATGGTGGTGAGGAACAGAATTCCCTTTGTGCTTCACTTAAGCTGGGGAGAAGATGCTTCTAATCAACAACAAAACAAGAACATAGAAGAGAAACTCTTCCCAAAAGATGTTGAGACTTTGAAAAGAGTGCAGATAAGAGCAACCAAGATGATTAGGGGACTGGAGGCTAAAACATATGAGGAACAGTGGCAGGAATTCAGTATGCCTAGTTTAATGAAAAGAAGGACTAGGGATGACATGATAGCAGTGTTCCAATATCTCAGGGGCTGCCATAACCTATTCTCCAAAGCACTTGAAGGCAGGACCAGAAACAATGGGTGGAAACTAATCAAGGGGAGCACTAACTTAAAATTAAGGAGAAATTTCCTGACAGTGAGAACAATTAATCAGTGGCTTGCCTTCAGAACTTGTAATGCTGGAGGTTTTAAGAAGAGACTGGACAGCCAGTTGTCTGAAATGGTAGAGGGCCTCCTGCTTTAGCAGAGTTGGACTAGAAGACCTCGAAGGTCTCTTCCAACTCTGTTACTCTTGGCTGGAGGTTCCAGTGATCTCAAATAGGATGTTTTAATACTCTGGACAACCTGTGTTCCTAAGGGATTATGGTTTGTCACACAGTCAGCTAGATGTTTAGACCGGATTGGGCATTTTTATCTACCTATCAAGTCCTTTCCAAGGATCTGGGACAGAGAAACATGTATCTTTGATGGTATTTAGTTTAGTTTAGTTTATTGTCATTGCACCTCGTACAATGAAATCAAACACCATCTTCAGTGCACATCATGACCATGAAAATAAACACAAACACACATCCTTCACCCTCCACACATTGAACCGAAAATCCCCGACACCGAACCAAAACTGCACTATACAGCAGAATTCAAAAGAGCTACTGCCCTGGGATAGAAACTGTTTTTCAGCCTATTTGTCCTTGTTTTTATTATCCTGTACCATCTGCCAGATGGTAATAGTTCAAAAAAAGGGTTCCCAGGATGAGATGGATCTTTGAGAATGTTTTGAACTTTCTTAAGGCAGCGGGAGTTATAAAGCTCTTCTAAAGAGGGGAGAAGGCAACCAATGATCTTCTGGGCAATGACTTTAACCCTCTGGAGTGCTTTCCTATCTGCCCCTGTGCAACTGGCAAACCATACAGAGGTGCAGTATGTTAAAATGCTCTCTATGGTACAGCGGTAGAAGGTCACCAGCAGTTTTCCATTCAGTTGTTGTTTCCTGAGAAGTCTCAGGTAGTATAATCTCTGCTGGGCCCTTTTGACCAGGGCTGCAATGTGAGCACCCCAGGTCAGGTCCTCTTTTATGGTAACACCCAGAAACTTAAAACTGGCCGCTTGCTCTACTCAGTCTCCGTTGATAAGCAAGGGCTGGATGTCTGATCTGTTCCTTCTATAGTCCACTATAAGCTCCTTGGTCTTATTGGTATTGAGGACCAAGTTATTGTCTCCACACCATGAAAGCAACCGGTCCACCTCATCTCAATAGGCGGACTCATCCCCCACATAGATGAGTCCCACCACTGTTGTATCATCTGCAAATTTAGTAATAGTATTACCAGTGTGAGTGGGAATGCAGTCATGCACATGAAGAGTATAAAGCAAGGGACTCAACACACAACCCTGTAAAGGTATTATTAAAGATATTGTTGGAGGATGTAAGCTGTTCCAAGTAAAACTACCTTTTTAAATTGACCAATGATGATATTTCTTAATGCCAATGTTTTTCAAGTGGTTTTCTAGGTGTTTTGGGATGGTACACAAGTCACCTATCGTTATTGGTACTACCTTTGCTTTCTTTTCCCCACAGTTGTTCTACTTCTATTTACAGATCTTTGTATTATGATTTTCTCCAGTTCACATTCACTATCATATTATCCCAATTATTATAGGGAGAGTCTGTTTGAGTGTATCCCTTTTTGAAATAACACACATATTTTTTTTTTAAATTCAATCCATTCAGAATAGAAATGGAAGGTACCTTGGAGGTCTTCTAGTCCAACCCCTTGTTCAAGCAGGAGATCCTATACCATTTCAGAGAGGTGGCTGTCTTATCTCTTCTTAAAAACCTCTAGTGATGAAACACCCACAAAGTCTGAAGGCAAGCCATTACAACGGTTAATTATCCTCACTATTAGGAAGATTCTCCTTAATTCCACGTTGCTTCTCTCCTTGATTAGTTTCCATCCATTGTTTCTTGTCTTGGCTTCTTGTGCTTTGGAAAATAAGACGGTCCTCTCCTTTTCTTTGTGGCAGCCCCACCAAATACTGGAACACTGCTATCCTGTCTCCCCTAGTCCTTCTTTTCATTAAACTAGACACACCCAATTTCTGCAACTGTTCTTTATATGTTTTAGTCTCCAGTCCAGTCCCCTAATCATCTTAGTTGCTCTTCTCTGCACTTTTTCCAAAGTCTCAACATCTTGTTTTGTAATGTGGTGACTAAAACTGGACGATGTATTCCAAGTATGGTCTTACTAAGATTTCATAAAGCGGTACTAGTACTTCACGTGATTTCACATGACTTGTGCGAATATTCCTAGAAATGTGACTGCAGCACTCAAAATGTTAGTTTAGATCTGTGTCTGATGATATGAGATCTATGTCTGATCATCCCTTTATTGGTCTCATTGGCTGGGGCTTTTGGGTGTTGTAGTTCAGCATTATCTCAAGTTAAATGAATTAAAAAGACAAAACCTTACTGAAAACTGGGAATGAGGTGCTTCCTTTGAGCACTTGGAATTCCTGTTCAAGCCTCCTGCGCCAATCAATCTGTTCAAACAAGACCTTCTGAAGTTCTTCTAGACCAAAGAGGGAAAAGAAAAAAGAAAAAAGAAATAATTTTGTGAGCATACTGACTCTTAACACCGAACGTTCACAATTACAAAGGAAAAATATTTTTGGCAGCTTAAGGGTGGCTGCACCATGCCTTGAGCAGCTTTGGATAGGTTCTGTGCAGAAATCCATGAATACAAATCAATGCAATATATTATTTTAAAGTATTATAGCCCAGTGTCGTGTATTGATTGATACATATGCATTAATCTCAATTATAGCCACACAAAAGGTCCATATATTATTCATATGTTGCTTGTCAAGCTTAAAATATGGTTGGGAGTAAAAAACATATATTACCCTTAATTGTCTTGATATTCCGCTAAAACAAAAGTCAGCCTCACTAGGAGATTTGTATCTATTTATCTTTATAAAAATCCCCCACCTTTTTTACCTTTTCCCATGTTTTCCATGTCCTTTTTCAAAGAATGGGGTGCGCTGGTTTCCTGGATTGGGTCACCTGAATGAAAAGAGAATTATTACTATAGAGGAATTATTGAGTCTGTCATTTGCTCCTCTATAACTGTCTGGTTTGGCACAGCAGCCAAACAGGACTTTCACAGACTTCAGAGGATAGTCAGGACTGCAGAAAAAAAACAACTGCAAACAGCCTGCCTTCCACTGAGGATCTGTACACTGCAATGAACCAGAAAAAGGGCTGAGAAAATATCTACAGACCCCTCATGTCCTGGACATAAACTGTTTCAATTTCTCCCCTCAGGATGCTGCTATAGAGTATTGCACACCAAAACAATTAGACCCGAAGATTTTTCCCCCCGCATGCCATCGCCCTGCTAAACATCTAATTCCCTGTGCACTGTCTTAGGCCCAAAGGTAGTAGGCTGTATTATTATTATCCTTCTCATCTTCTCATCTTTCTTACTACCATCTCCTATTGGTATGATTTATCACTTGTTGTATTTTATGATTAATGATTGTAGCTATGATCTATGATATATCACTTTATTGTTCGTACATGTATGTACAGTGAGAGCTGGTGCACCAGAGACAAATTCCTTGTGTGTCCAATCACTCTTGGCCAATAAAGAATTCTATTCTATTCTATTCTATTCTATTCTATTCTATTCTATTCTAT